ATAAAGTTTTCTTTAAGTTCTTTTATCTGTATTGTGATTACACCATTCTGTTTTGCCCAACTTACTTTTCACATATAAATGTATCAACTTAAATTGCCTTCCTTTCATTCAATCACAAGTTTTCCAATTTTTTTATTAATTTGGAATTTGTATTCTGTTTGTTCGTTCTCATTAAAATGTTGCTCATTTGTTGCAATGAAGCAAATAACAACAGAGAAGGCAGTTTGCAGATTAAAACTTTAGGTTCTAGTTTATGACTCTCTGTTGAGTACCAGAATATAATTTGGATGATGGTATTCCAATTTTTAAGTTTCATCTCTTGTTGCTTAGGCAAACAAAGAGATATTTCCATTTCAGAACAAGGGATGTCATTCCTCGTCTACGCTGCCGCTATCATGTCCCTGACAAGTACGTGGTTTCGTCTAATTCTCAAACCCACCGGATCCGGTCTCCGGTCTAACAATATGAGTATTCCGACTCATTCTACAAATGTGTATATATGGGATGCGTCTATCTTTCCCTCAGTATTTCTAAAAGGAAAATAAGAATTGACTTACCACAGCAGCTGGAGAAAGAGAAGGAGATGATCAAACCCTTTGTTCGGTACAAATCCATATTGCGCTGAAAAAACGTCACTCGCCTGTTTAGGAGATCGCGTTGCCGGTCGGGGAAGGAAGGGGATGAGGAGGAAGCAATGCATATGTGAGAGACGTTTTCCCACATTTTCTCTCAGTGAGATGCGGAAACAGATGTCTGTATGTTAATGCACTGTGTGTGTATTGTCTGTCTCAGAAGATCAAAATATCTGAGTTTCTTTTATCCTTACAATGGTATAATACTGTACATTTCTTGCCTATTACCATCCACTGCCACTTATACCAATGACAGAAATAAGCGCAGTTAGAATAGCCAAATATATGGGAGAGTATTGCTATAGTGTGACTACATTGTGAGAGAGAGAGAGAGAGAGAGAGAGATCACCAGCCAAGAAAAAGAGAGCAAAGAAAAGAGGAGCCAGCGCAACAGTTACCATCTTCTTTTATCCCTTCCTTGACCATGTGACTAAAAACCAAATGTGAGACATTCAAACTGGCCAATCAGCAGATTACCGCTTCACCCACTGTGCAGAAGGTGTGACAATTAGCAGACCCCCGATGCATACACATGTTTGCCTACAGGCCTTGATCACAATCAGCACTCTGTGCCTTCACAAATTCCAAATGGCCCTTTTGCTACTGAAGATAGGTTTGGGACCGGAAAGTAGAAGTCTTTGATCATTTTCAACCCTATAATATAGTAAAAAATACAAGGTTCAGAATAAGGATTTTAAAGACAATTTATTTTTCACAGGAAGTGGGTTATGTCAGGGATTTCATGTTTGTAGCTCAAACTGACCAATGGCACTGAGCTTTTAAAAGCAGCCACAACTTTCATAAC